CTATTACATGAAAAACGTTTGCAACAAGCTTCAAATACCTATGTTTTCCGTTCTGTTCTTATCAGAAAAAATACTAGGCTACAAGATTTTTGAGACGCCCTGCTCATACAAAGTTCAAGCAAAGCTCTCTTTTTACTCAGGCTGCATAATTTCGCATTTCTTGAGCACTCACAAATTTTAGAATATCTGCTTTACGATGCACCAAGTGCAATTTAGAACGAAAAGCAGTAATTTCCTCGAACAGCTCAAATTGCCTTAATGGCTCAGTGTGCTTTAACTTATGTGTTTCTGGGCCAAAGAACTCTGATCAGATTCGAGTAAAACTTTCTTTCTCTTTGAAACCTAAGCTTTCTTGATGGCATTTTCGTTGCATTTAACGATTAAATTTTAGCCTCACTTCAAAATTAGCATACTTATGAGCCTCAAAACTTGCACTATGTTTTCTGCAGAGCTTTGCAAAAAGCAAGTGCATTTGTTGTATGATAATGTTTCTGTTCTATAGCCTTTGGATTCTTCGCAAAGCTAACTCTAAAGTTTCGGAGCTAGATAGCAAGGACAGGCGAACTACATGAGTGTACATAATCATTCAGCACATCAGTATATATAGTCATTTTTGTGGGTCTACGCTTGCATTGCTGAGCAGATGCTCAGCGTCGTGGGACTCTTTTTAGACAAACATACAAGCTTAGAAACTTACCTACATTATCTGCTTACTGCATTCCAGTCTTCGCAGACGACAAAAGGTTTTTGAGGTTCAGAAGTGCGTGAGCTTCGAAGTAGATCGATATTTTGTTGTAAATTGCAATGAGGGCGAAGGATTTTTCCATACTTCGAACAACACTTCCATCGAGAGAGCTTATTCTATCTTAAATTTTTGCACTTGCTAATCTGAGTCCGTAGCAGATATTTCTAGAGCACACCGAACAAAAGCATTTTTGGGTTGAAGAAGTAACGCTTTTTCGAAATGCACTGGGTCGTATAGGAGATAGAACTAATTGTAACTTCAAAAAAAAAATGCGAATGCGAGAGATTGCAGCTTTGAGTGAAAGAGGAGCTTTGCTTAAAGTGTTCGTATAATTATGATTAGCTGAAAATTGGCACGCTCTGCATAATTAGATTAAGATTGAGGTGTTCGTATGATGAATTGCCACTTTGTCACCCCCCCCCCTCTCCCCTCTTTTATAGCACCTCCTGAATCTCTGTAGACGTAGCCAGTGCTCATCAGTGCTTTACTGATCCCATTGTCAGCAATACCAATTTCCTGCGCCAATTTGCTCTCCGTGCAAGCGCGGGAGTTCAAAATGGTGCTCTAGATTAAGAAAAGTCTTGATCAACGAAAAGGGGTAGGACACCAAGTTTGGTGTGCAGATAGCAATGGGGAGTTGGAATTATGTATGAAAGAGTTTGAAAAAGCTATGTGAACAGGCTTGGCAAACTTTTTTCTGAGTAAGTGGCAAAGCCACTTTGCAGTCATCTGGGGTTGGCTCAGAAACAAAGTTGTTAACTTTGCCTTTCCTTGGATATTTTTGCAATCTTTGCATAACATTAATCTACCTTACAAATCCTTAAATCGAAAATCGTCTCGAACTCCCTCTTCTTCGCTTGCAAGGGAGGTCCGATTAGTCGAAGTGGGCTCAAATTAGTCCTAATCACTTTGAAAAGCATTGAAGATTGATCCCATATTTGTTTTCATTGTCTGCCAAGCTCCTTTAGAGGACGAGTTGTGTTTCAGAGGCGAAAAATGACCACAGAATTTGAGCAAAACAATGGTTACTATTTTTCTGCGCTAAAACAGAGCACGCTGAGTATGATTCAACAGATACTCAGCGAATGATGTGCCTTTAATTATTAGGGGGTGCGTATCGTTACGTGCGAGCTGCCCATTGGAAAACGTCGCGCGCGACAGGCTTCCAGTGACCGCACTCAGGAAATTTGGACAAAAAAGACACAGACTGTTGCATGTAAAAGTCTAACAGTATGGAAGAAGCATTGATGATCTAGGTGTATAGATTTGACAAGTTTGCTGCACTACTTTCCCCCGCGCGCTGCCGCGTTGCGACGTTTTCCACTGGGCAGCCTGCACGTAACGAGCGCCCCCCATTATTAGGTTGTAAAGATAGTTTCCGGGCACTTTTGGAAATTACATTTTCAAACGCATTTTTTTGGCGCTCGATCGGACTTTGACACCAAGTTTTCTATACTGTCCAGTACAGGGAAGCCTGAAGTTTTCAACAAGTCTTCTGACTTTTATCGATGCCAAGACGTGCTTGATCTGCATGTCAAGAAGAGAAATCTTTCCAACCACAAAAATTTGGCAATTTTTCTTTTTACGACCATTTTTTGTGCAATTCAAAAAGATTCGTCCAAATCATGGATGATTTGATTGAGAAGCTTGTTAACTTCTGACCTGCAGCTGCACTCGAGTTTTGCGATTCGTGCTCAGAAATTACAAGCTAATTTGCCTCTGACTGAAACTCTTTTCGCAGCTGGAGTCGCTTCTGCGGAGATCGCCACGCCTGGATGATGGGTACAAAAGGTGTGCAAGGTATTACCCCAACAATGTTCTCAGTAATCAAAGATTTGGTCCTTTTTGTGCAGAACTAGAAGACTTTGAAGTCACTCACTCGAAAAATGGTGCATTTTTAGGGGCAAAAAATGGTCGATTTTCCAAATTTCTGGGAAAAATTTTTTGCAGGTGGTCCTTCAAAAACATGAATGGTACCCATAACAGCCCCCACATATACAACTCATCTGGGTTCTCCAGCTCTCATCATGCCTGAGATAATCCTGCACAAATAGACAACTTTTCGCGACGACCTTTTTTTCGTTCTGCGCATGCTGGTGGACCGCTATGAGGTGCTGAAAAGCCAGCAAGACAAATATATGTTTTGGACAAAATTGTCTTTGCAATGAAGTTTGTAGCTTTGAAAAAGGAACAATCTGCTTGAAGTTACAGCGATTTGGAGCGAATTTTTGCAACTGCCCGGGAACTTTCTTCCCAAGCTAATATTTCATTCGAGCATTTCTGCGCGACTCTCAAATATAATACGTACATAACTCTGCCGCCAGAGGCGCCTTTCATTTAAGGTTGTCTCATAAGTTTTTTTCAGTTTTGAATTTTTACCCTATTAAGTCACACATTTCTCTTTTCTGATTAGAATTCCGGGTACCGTTCGATAGAGCAAAGCAAGCTCCATCACTGTGCGTAAGAGTTTGCACCAAGTTCAGCATATCACGGGTTAGAAGCGGAAAACTGAGAACTCTTGCAAGGGAAGGATACTCGGTCGAAGTGGAGTTTCCACATGAAACTTGCATACTATATTGTAGAGCATGAGTCGCTGATTCCAAATCTGCTTGCTGTATCTGCAAAGCGCTTCTGGGAGGGGAGACGGAATTTTTTTGAAGCAAAAACTTCAACGCGCGGTTACAATAGAATCATTTATAAGTGTAGTTTGTGTGCTTAAATACGGCCATCATTACTGCCAGGACTCTCTATGCAGTAATACCTTCATTCTAAACTTATGCTAGTCATTACTCCTTTCAAGCGGCGGAAAGACCTTAACAACATTTTCCCTTAACCACATCTTTGAGACTTTGCCTCAAAAAATTCCAGTGAATCTCCTCTCAGAAGAGCTTTGCAGACATCAAAAGCAGATTTGGAATCAGCGTTTAGTGCTCTATAAGATAGTGTACGTTTCATAAATCTCTATTTCGACCAGGTATCCTCCCTTGTTAAATGCCCGAAAAATTGAAAATTTTTTATAACTTTTCCAAAGAAGACTTATCAGATTCCAAACTCGTTGATGCATAAAAGCTCCACATAATACATTCGTTACATACTGCTGTGTTTGTTTCTGTGCTAAGCGAGAAAACTAAAATTTTCAAACATTTCGAAAAGCGATGTTGCGCGGTTCTCACATAAGTAAATGTATATCACAGGCTTTTAGCAGTACAATATTACATTTCCAGCTTTCTATACGATCTAGTTCCCGAGTAGTAATGATTTCAACAATACCTTAGCAAAAAGAGCTAAAATTAGTGTTTCTCGAGAATTAGCGCTTCTAAGAAGCTGAAAATTTACCGATGTATTTCTGAAGGACTGTAGTATAAATTCACCTATGTGAGAACAGCGCAGCATCGCATTTTGGGAAGCTTGAAAACTTTAGTCTATGTTATGAAAAACAAAGACATGAAAAATTTTCAATTTTTCGGGCATTTAAGAGCTTGGCTTCTAACTCGTGATATGCTGAACCTGGTGCGAACTCTCACGCGCCATCTTGTGAGCTTGCTTTGTTCTATCGAAAGGTACCCAGCATTCTAATCAAAGTGAGCAATGTGTGACTTGTTGCGGTTAAAGTCAAAATTCAAAAAAACTTATGAGACAACCTAATATAAGAAAGACAGATTTGAAATTGTTGTCCAGTCAATGTCCAGTGATCTACGAAGACTTAGTGACTTATGCGCCGTGGGTGACCTCTCCGACCAAGAATGCTTCCTTTGTTAGTTAGAGCTGCAAAAATTTTTGCGTGGTGGAAGCAATGCTGCTCCAGTCGCGAAATGATGCGCGCCGCACACACATCATGCAACCAAAGCTAACGATGCGAACATCATCCCCTTTTTCGAAGTTTCTATTTTTGGTGCTCTATCCTGTCTACAAATTTGTTTTTCTCTGTGCACCTCACATGGCATGTCGAATAGTGTTGCGCAGTCAAGGGCTATATCCGGAATTCCTTTCAAACAGGTTGCTGAATCCACCTCGTGCTGCGCTCTGCAAGTGACGGACAAAAAGAAGATAAGATGACTAAGGTATCAGTATGCCCTATATAAATACTTATTCTTGTATACTCTCCCCAATTACATTGAGAAATTCAGCTTTCATTGAGAATACAAAAACGATCAGTAACATGCATTAACGATATATCAATCTAAATTATCAGGTACTACCTGGTAAAGCGACTTGCAAGTTTAATGCATTCTGAGATGTGATCAGTGGCGTATTATCAGTATAGGTCAAGGCAAACGGTACTGTTCGCAGATTGCCATGGTATGTTATCTTCTCCTCTCAACACGTTAGCAATGTAAAGTACTTGTTCCACATCGCTGATATCTGGTTGAAGGCCTTGTACGTAATCGTTAGCATCTCCTATAGTGTTTTTCGTCAATGGCACTTGTCCACAGCAAATTCCATCGCAAGCGCAGTAGGTGGTGAACGCATACGCATCCAGAAATTCGTAACCGGTAACATTGTAGACGCTCCCGAAGTATAGCTTGTGCTGACCTGAGTAACCAAATTGCAGTCCTGCTTCTGGAGCTACATTTTTTATGTTAGTCACATTACAATCAGTCGTGGACTGATCATACAAATCTAATTCTGAAAAAAAAAAATTCGGGTTGCACCAATGACTTACTTGCTTTCAAGAATACGGGTACTGAAACACACTCTGGCTGTGGATTCTTGGCGAAGACCAGGCTAAATGATTACTTTTGAAATGCTCTACTAGAGTTGCCTTTTATGCAAACTGGTTTACCCTACTTGCCTTGTTTTTGATGTTTTGCAATAAATGATTTCGTAGATACCATTTGATTCAACTTGGCTTGGCATCGGCAAAGGCGGGGCTTCGTGACCTAATTAAGGCGAGGTGTTGATCAGAAAGCACTCGCGCGAGAGAGACGCAGGTGCGTCGCGGGCGCGAGCGGCCTCAATTAGATCACAAAACCCCGCCCTAATGGTGCCAAGCCAGTTGAATCAAATGTTACCCTACTATGAAAAACGCTTTGATTTTAGCAAACGTAGTATGCGTTCGAAACGGCAAGAAGAAACGGAATAATTTACCCGCGTCTGGGTACCGTTCCATCGGTAAATGCTGATTCACTCTTAGAGAAAAAAAAGGCACCATTTTTCTTGAACATATATAAAGTTGTCAAAGAAACGATGTTCTTTGCGAGCAGTTCCCTGATCCTAGTTTTGCTTTGTTTCGACTTTGGTTCCTGAAGCTTCTGGAATTTCAATTCTGATGCAAGTGGTAAGCGTCGACATGTTGTTAGTGTGAGCTGGCAATCAAGCTTGTAAACGTTGTCGCCACCAGCCTGATGAGTTTCACCGTTTCCAAAGATGGTGCAAACACCCTAAATGCTCAACTTTGATATGTCATCCTTCTAGGAAAAGGATCAACACAATGTGTTCAACCGCTAAAATATGGTGTCTTGGAAATGTCTCACATATTATACCCCGTAACACATCCAGTTTGCTACCACTTACGAGGAATTTGAAAATCGCTGAACATAATTATAAAGCCACTTTAATCGTCGTGATTTGGTTCTTGTTGATGAATCTATCTGATACATTGCTGTATGAAGCGCATATTAATCTATTATGACTCCATAAAAAGGCTTCCAATTTTTTTGAATTTTAATGGAGAAAAACAGAAAAATTTGAAAAAATTTTCCTGAAAGCTAAACAAAATCATGAAGCCACCTGGTGTTTTCAAACACTATCGCATTCCTTGACTCTAAATTTTTTTGACAGTTATATCCTATTTGAAACATTTGAAACACCTTCGAGTTGTCGTCCTAAGCAAAGTGAAGTGATCAGCCATTTTTTGAAAGCATGAAAACCGCTTCAACGAACAGCTGGTCTAAGGATTTTTCAAGCTCTCTTCCATTTTTGAGTATAGTCATGGAATCCACAGATTTTTCGGCAAATGAGGTGAAGAGCGCTACGGACAAACGCCAACACCATACGGTTGCCGCCTTTTTGCGCCATAAGACTCGACTCTCAAACACTACAAATACTTAATATAATCATTACGTCGGTTGTACAACAGTAAACTTGTATGCATAGTTAAGAAAAGAATTTCGAGGCTAGGCATTTTGGTATAGCCCAGTTGTCATCCATGGAATGTTGATTGCAGCATCCTGCACAATCATAGCCAATACACAATAGATAACGGGATGAAACAGAAACGTTCAAAACTTCGGACTAGTTTCATTTATCAGGTAATATTTGGCATAAAACAGGGAGGGAAGTAATAAGATACGATTGCGCCGCATCCACTCATCGAAAGGATTTTCGTGGAAAGAATTTTAGATCTGAGAAAAATTCCTCAAACCAGCTGTTCTTTTGAGCATATTAACTTTTGTTGCTTTTGAAAGTAAAGAATGCTGACCGCTTCTTTTTCAATAGGATGTCAGGTTATAAATGGTGCAGTGTTTCATATTTTAGGGAGATTTAAGGATTGTGGTAGTGTTCAGAAAATACAGGTTGCTCTACATATTTGTCCAGCACAGTAAGGGGTCCTTCAAATTTTTCTATTTTTCTCCTAAACGAAACTGGAAGCCGCTGTGAGGAGATATAGTAGGCTAACATGCACACCATACAGCAAGGTTTCAGACAGATTCATCAACAAGTACGCAAATTGCGATGACTAAGAGTGGTTTTATGTACAGCATTTATCAAGGGTGGCGGACTTTATGAACGATAGCTCGCGCTAAGGCATGCGAGTGTCAATAGGCGCATCCAAGGCCGCGCCTATTGCTAGATGGCCAAACTTTCCGCAGGACAGCCTTAGCATTGGTCCGCGGCTAATGTGGACTAGTACACACTGTTAACTGCCACATTCTCTTACTCTCCAATCAACATTCTCCTATATTCTTTATTTCTCCTATATTATCCTGCATTTCTCCTGCATTTCTCTCATATTCAGCGTCCAGTTGTTGCCCTGGTAGCTTTACGAAGGTCGTCATGTTTCTTGTAACATGAACCCATCTGTAATGAGCTACAGCACAGACAAAGACGCATAAAGCTCTAAGATAAAGATCTTTTATACTCTTCTAATTACTTTGATTATTACTTATTCTCTTACTTTTATTGTGGTATTGTCATATATTTCGTCCGTTAGAACTATTAGTATGACCAAGAAGTAGAAAAACAGAGATGATAAGATAAATGATAAATCATGATTTTGCTGCAGCAGCGGCCCATCGATTGATAAGGAGATTCCAATCTTACCGCAAAACGACTGCTCTGGCTTCCGCATGCGCGTTGCGGCCTCCACGGAGGGGACGGAGCCTAATGCGCGCGTACACGGTAGCACGGCCGCGGCTGCCGCATGCTATCGTTCATAAAATCACTCACCCCTGTACCAACATACTACAAACCTCAAAATACTTTACAAAAGTGCAGTCTCCTTCTTCATAACACGTGACAAGACAAAGATCTTTGGTTTCCTTCAGCATCTCATAAACGACATCTGCCACAAAATCGTCCTCCTGATCTACGAAGGTACATGAGTCTGCTCCGTGAATCTGCACAATAAACAGATGTGAATGTCAACTTTTTGTCAAATGCCATCTTATGATTTGGATACTATGTTTAGCGACCTTTGGACCAAAAAAAGGATTACCACATTTGGAGCACATTACCTGCAGAATCATTACCAGTGGAATGACGAGTGAGATGCTCTTCGACCACATGATCTAAAAGTGAGACCTTCAGCGTTTCTTTTTTTGTTCTAAATTGTAATAGTTGAAGAAGAAGCTGCCCTTTAGCGAGTAGATCCAAATAAATTTTAACTAAAATGAGGATTTCTACTTACAAGGTGTTATAACAAGTACTGGCATTTGAAAAAAAAAGGCATACATTTTTAGCAAGTCTGAAACGCTGAGTTCAAATAACAGCTGCCGTAAACTGTCCACTTCAGGCAAGTCTGCGAATCAAATTTTTTGTATAAACTGGAGACCACGATGACTTTTTTGTGTAAGAGGTTACGAAATTTTACGTATAACAGCGCAGCGGCTTTTTCCCATTTAGAATTTTAACTAGATCTTTGAAAACAGCGAATTGGATTCAGGCTTATTGAGAAGATATGTGAGAAACTGGAAGAGATGAAAAAAATGCAAGTTAGCATTGCAGCAGCACCTTATCCCCCTTCCCCCAACATTTTAAATATTGGAAACGTCCATCCTGAAGGGCAGCCAAAAGATTGACTTAAATAAAGGTGAAACCTCTGCGCGACTCCTATATACCAGCGGTTGCTAGGGCGGAGCGTTCGAAGAAAAGGGGCGGAGACGAAATTGGAAGCTGGATTTACAGAACTTTACAGTATTGTTTGATTTTGTTAGCTATGGTGATATCAGAAACACAAGCTCACAAGGCTCCAAAATGCAGATTTAATACAGAAATTATTTGGTCAAGACGGTCTTGCTAGTTCAATTTTTTCCAAAACAAAAAATCGATAGAAGAAATAAAAACATGGGGAAGTTCTACGGCATTTTCGCACACTTCAGTGGACATAAGCTTTGACATTTGACAAATATGTTGTTCAATATCAAGCGTAAATCTATCCTAATACAGTATCATTTTAACTCAATCAAAAATTCAAATTCTCATGTGAATGTTACATACAGAACTTTACAAAAGATGATCATTTGAAAACTATGCAGTTAGAGAAGAGATGTTTTGTTCAGCTGGCAAATAATCTCTGATACACATTTGCCTTTAAAACCCGAGAATCTAAAAAAATTTTGAGGGAAGTTTATGACATGTAGATGTTACGGTGTCAAAAGCCTAAGCCTGTTTTTGACCATGTTTGTGCGATTGCTTGCATTACCGTAGTATTACGGTCTACACTTTGAGCTTCAAAAAATTGAGACCCATCCAACCAGCCAAAACTCTCACATTAGCTAATCAAAGTCACTGAGTTTAAAATCAAAACTTGCACTGTACGGTAATGCTGCTTCTCCAGGTACACCGTAACAACTTTTTTCAAACGTCTGTCGGAAGTGTGATTACTCCAATTAAAGGAATAAAACTAAACTCGTGAAAAGTTATGTAGTAAAATAAGCATGCATGAAAGTCTGGCTACACAATTTTTCACATTTTCTTGAAGAAGTTTGTCAGACGGCTCATTCCACACCGATTTTTTATGGTAGAAGTTTCTACTGTAACCTACGATACGCCGAAAGCGATGGTTTGTTCCATACTGTAAGTCTAAGCTGAAGTTTCTACAAACTGGTTATTTCAGGGGAGCACATCAAAAGAAGTGAGGTGTTGATGATCAAACGATGTGCACACTACATATACCCACCACTTAAAAACAAAGAATTTCCAAAAAACTTTCAGTGTTTTCAGTATGTCTTTAATTCCATTCTTGAGACGGCAGAGGCATAAGATGAAGACTGGTGGAGAACACTTGAAAATTTCAAGGAGAAAACACGGCAGAGAAGAAGTCTTGAAAAATAGGAAAATTTGGTTATGCTTACAAAACTATCGACTTGGTGCTTTGTGTGTCCTGACACCTGAGCATGGAGCAAACTGATGTGAGAAATGTAGGAAGCATGTGAAACTTCTCGATAGAAAAGTGTGATACAGGGTGTGGCAAAAGTCTGGGAGCCTAGTACTCCAGATAAAATCAGAAGGAAAGTACTTACAAGGGAAAGATACTAAATTAGATTTGCCTTTTGAGATGAGACACATATATTTGGAATCAGCTTGGAACGCTGATTCCAAAAATGCTGTTCCTAGCTGCTTAGCATCATTCTAAAGCGAGTTATGGACTCTTTTCTACGCAAAGTTTGCGTGCTCCTCGATCTATTGAGGCTACGGTGTCGACGTCTAGGTGGTTTTGCAATTGTATAATGCCCTCTTTCAGGATTGGAAAAATCAATCTAATGCTGGTTCAACAACCTAGCACTTTCGAGCGATTCTTAGCTACACGCCGTCTTCTTACAACACTCAAAAATTTGTTAGTCACTCACAACAGCAAGCCCATAACTTGCTTCAGAATAATGCTAAGCAGCTAGGAACAGTGCATTTGGAATCAGCGTTCAATGATGATTCCAAATATATATGTCACAAATCCAAAAGCGAATCTAAGTTGATATCTTTCCCTTGTTAGAAACAAAAGTTTGGTGCACACATGAATCGAACACATAATACAGTGCAGCTCTCAAATTTTGATAGTGCCTGTTTTGGCTTCAAAGCAGCCCTTCGAAATCCTGGCAAGTCTGTCTGTCGTGGCACGCAGGCAGTCGAGATGAAATTTGTCCCACGCCTTGAAGATAAATGTTTCTTTCACCAAGCAAATATGCAGTATGATAGAACAAGCCTCCTCTACATAGATTGCATCAAAATGTTGTAGAATGTGTACAGTATCTTTAGCTACGAAATAAATTGTGAATACTAAGAATTTTGATTTTCTCGCTTTGCAGAATACTTGTTTTGATAGAACCATTACAAGTACATGTGACAAGTATTTTCAGCTACGTAAAGTGCGGTTTGTAGAGGATGTTTGCAGCATTATGAGTACAATTTTGGAATTGAAACCTTTAGTAGTTTCGTGATTTACAACACTACAAAGTTGGCTCCCAGATTTGCCCACCCAGAATATCCGCCAATCTTATGTGAGTTTTATGTAATTATCGCCGCAAAGTTACATTAGTGCCAACCTCTGGTAGTTTGTGATCCTCGAATTTGGTTTCAAATATATTAAGATGTCTTCCCTACATCCAATTTTCGATAATGTACTCTTGCAGAGCCAACGCTTTCGCTTGCTATTGCTTTTTTTTACTACACTAACGGCTTCTAGGTAAGTGTATCTGTTGTAATAAATAGAAAATAAGTGTCACAACAAGTATAAGCAAACATACTGCAACAGATGAACATATGCAGGGTTAAACATGAAATGTGACGCACAAAAGTTTTCGTAACTTTGCTAATACTCAGTGAGATTGAAAGCTTTTGTTTTCATCTGATAGACAAGAAAATTCCGTATAAGACATTATAGATTACTTTTTGAATATCTACCTTTGGCTTTAGTAAAAAAATTTATTCTGCTCGGAGAAAATTTCAAAATGCGCGCAATGGTTTTTGGCGGAACTTCGTCCCAGGATCTCCTTTCAGCGAATCCAATGAAATGGGTCTGGAAGAGCAGGCGTTTTGCTTACAGATAGGAAAGAAAGAGAACTCATGGGTTCGAAAATGTTTGAGTGGAAAGGCCAAACAGTGTTTTTATCATATGTGTCCAACATGATGTTTGATGGGCTGCAAAATATTCATTTTTTTGTTTTTTTCATTCCATGTTTTGATTGAAGTCGTCTTCTTCATATTCTTTTGTCCCGTTGTGCTTGTTTTCGACTTCAGTTCCTAGTAAAACATGGTCAAGCTCAAAGGTTTATCATCGCCATGGCAACGAAAATCGTGGTTTTTGGAGATTCTGGAAAAAGCATCGAAAGCAAATTTTGAAGGGCTGTGGCACTTTCTTGGATCAAAGGTAGTACTACAGAGACGCTTTTAAGAATTTTTAGCATGACTAGACACCAATCCACAGCGAAAAGAAGAATTTGCAGTTGTGTAAAATCCATCGTTTGAAGACTGCAAAAAAATGATATTTGGCCCTCTAGCTCGCCCATCCTTGAACCCACAAATATTATGTCTGCCTGAAAGGAAAAAGTTTGCCCTTCAAAGCTCATGTCATTTGATTTGCCAGAAAGAAATCTGGTGAGAGTTTGGGAGCAGAAACCACCGCGCGCAAATCGAAGAGTTTTTGGAAGAGGCTCGTAGGAGAAAAAACGATTTTAAACAAACCAGGGACAAATTATCTCAAAAGTTAGTTAGAAGTTTTTATACAGAATCTTCTTCTCTATCATCTGAGAACGAAAGCTACTGATTTCATTCAGTCTTTGCAAAATTGTAATATTTTCTTGTTGTGTCACACTTCATGTGGACCACCCTGTAATATCACATAGAGCATTCTGCTGGTTCAGAGCTATTTCTCTTTGAAAATATTATATGGATTTATTTCTTATAGCATCGACGTTTTAGGCTAAGTTAATAAATAATATTTCTATTAAGCGCAAATATTCCATACAAGCCCTGAAAAGTCATAACCATTCGTCTTGAAGGAAACTATGGACTTTGGTCGATCTAATACACACTAATGCAGAGATAGAAATGGAATTAAGGACCATTAACATTTTTAACTTACATTAGTCGTCAAAAATCTGGAACGCTTCAGAAAAAACTGAAATCGTCAACACATTAGTTTTTTGATCTACTCTTCACAAATGTGAAAAGTTTGCGGTTTTGACGTCTCTGTTAGAAGTTGCGAATTTCTAGTTATTCAAGGAAATCGCCAAAATTAATTAATTTAGTCATTAGTTTCGAAAAAAATTATAGATTTCAACAAACACGTCCAAACAGCACAAACTTTTTACAGTTGCAAAAGGTAGGTCAAAAAACTCAAGTATCGACGATTTCAGATTTTTCTGAAGCTATTCAGATTTTTGGCGATCCAATTCAAAATAGTCACACCTTATATGGTCTTCTATTTCCATTTTTATCTCTGTAGTCAGTGCGTACTAGAAGCTCAGGAAGATAGTATTTGAAAGCAAAAGACTTATCAACTCAAGTAAATATGCAATAAAGCAAATCCGTTGAGATAACGCCAAAAAAACTTTTTAAATGAAAGGCAGAA